CCCCTGTGCCCAGGAATTCGCCTATGACCGGTACTGCCCTTTCTTTATCCTCGCGTGCAACGAGCCTTACGTCTTATTGATCTGGCTGATCAAGAGGCAATTTAAGGACAGCCCCCAAGGTCCTCCGGAATTATTTAATATCGCAAACAGCACAGCGATCACAGGCAGTGGACAGTTCAGATCCCCGCCAAAAATATTTATAGACGGTCCGGTAAGCGTCTGCATAGGACTGGTCAGTCCACAATCCCTCTGTCAGCGCAGCAAAAAGCCTCAAAGGACAAAGCAGCATGGCCTGCGTGTACTACTCCCATGGCTTGGCATGGTGACCGTGACCCGTGCTTCGACCAGGGCCCTTCAAAGGCACCGCCCTGTCCTGCCGGATGCGCCACCGGAGAGAATGTCGTCTCTCGAGGTAGAGTGCTCACAACTCCTCACTGAAGAGAGGACACTCAAGTTTGGACTCACTTCCTCACAGTAAGAAGAGATTGAGAGGGAAGATAAGGTAAGGGAACAACGTACCTGGAGATAGCTGCCCCCAACCACAAATTTCTCACCAATTGAGCCAATGTGCATTTCGATGACCGGTTGTAGCTTCATAACCACCCACAGCGCAATGTAGTGCCACCTCAGCCAAAATGCCACATCAGCATGCTTTGATCATCACACATACATCCGATGTCACCACAGCTCTCACGCTTTCGTCACAACCTTCTTGTGACTCACCTCTCTACCCGGGTGTCGCACTATTAAGCCAGCGCCAATGTATACACACAAGCATCGTCAATGCACCAAGTAACAATGTCGCCAGCGCTAGATGAAGCGATTTTTTATTATTATTATTATTATTATTATTAATTTTTTTTTTTTTTTTTTTTTTTTTTTTTCAGGACAAGGCTCCAATCTATTCGTGCGGAGGAGCACGTGCTGAGAACCGGGCCCAGCGTCCCATATGGAAATTTATGTAGAATTTTGAAAGTTTGAGATACCCGGGCCACTACCTTGCGCGACTCAGAAAATTACTACTACAAACTTCAGAAAAAAGGTCTGGCTACAACAAAACACACCACCACAGAGGTCCTACAAATGCCAAAAACCCTGTGGATCCCTAGCAACCCTTCTAAAGCTCTCCAGCGCTGACTTACTCCCGTCCCTGTCGAGCTCTTCCAAGCCTCGCACCCCCACCCTGCTGGGTTACAGGGCAACACGACTCACCCCAGCTCCGACCAGCGTCGTCCCAGCAACAACCCTTGGTTGTCCCTTGGAATGCCCAACCCAAAGCATCCCCAGATAGCTCTACCAGGCCTCACACTCCTGCATCAGCAGGTTACAGGGCAACACCCCAGCACCGGCCAGCGTCGTCCTGACATCGAACAGGCGCACATCACTGAGTATATCAGCAATGGACCCATCTAAGATGAGTTGCTAGGAGCCCCAGAATCCTAAATCATTCTTAAGAACCCCCTTGGCAACCATGAACAACCAACCAAACCTTGGATCTTAGGAACATTCAGACTGAAAAACCACCTGCCTTAGTGCTTTCAGCAGCCCAACCCTATCTGCCTCCCCAAAATGTCCCGATACTCAATCTCTACCAGGCCTCACACCCCCAACTGCTAGGTTACAGAGTGGCACGACCGACCCCAGAAACCCCCCACCTGCTAGGCTACAGGGCAAAGCAACCCGCCCCGGCTCCGGCCAGCGTCGACTGAGTACCAGCTCGCCAATAGACACTAGAGTGCATTCCACCCTCGACAACTCGCCAGATCTCTCTACCAGGTCTCAGACCCCCGTGCAGCTCGAGTTACAGGGCAGCGCGACCAAGCCCCAACACCAACGGTGTTCTGGCCTCGTCCATTCGCAAACCATCGGGAGCAAGGACATCAGCAGATAGCAGCCAAGCCCCAATCATCACCCTAGATGTAGTTCCGATCATCCAGCTCCTCCAGGCATTGGTTGCATCAAGTGACACTATTCCTTTTCAACCCTACTCCGGCAAGACTTACCGCGGTAGAGCCACGATCTCCACCGCCACTGTGCCCTATTTCCACCCTACAGGCTGACCCCTTCGCCGCAGAGCGCATTATTTCCAACCATCGCAGCCCACACAACCCACTGCAACCAGCACCAAACTTATGAAGATTCCCAATAGAAATTTTGAAGGCTTCATGAGACTCAGATGCACAAAAATGACCTTCGATCGCGAACCAGCTCCAATACCAAATTGCATGGAATATGAACAAGAGGGATATACAGAAAACCAATGCAAAATCACGCAGAAGTCCAGATAGTCATGTAACAAGCAGAGAGCTCAAATGCACCAAGATTCCATCCAAATAAGAGCAATACAATGAACTCGTGAGCCAACGTTCAAGTCCTCAGGCCACACCACCGCAGTATTCAATGTCGGTCCTCTTGTCTGGCGCCCAGCGCCCCGCCTACTCTACCCGTCCTACCTAGCCTATCTACGTTAATGCAATAGGCTCACTTCGACTTTGAAGACCAATATACATGACGTCAACACCAATGCCGACCTCCCACATACACCAGGTACGTACTCTCGACTCCCCTCATCATCCCGTCCCCCACACCTCATGCGCCTCCTACCCGAAGACCACCTTTGCCTCCTACTGCCCTCACGCCCTGCAGCGCCCCTCACCACTCAACGCCCGCACGCACCCCAGCCAGCATCAGCGCAAGCAGACACTTGTGCGCTATCACAGCAGCGTGTCCTCATTGCCTGCCTAGGCCAGACTGCCCAAGACTGGCAGGCCTCCTCCCTATATGCGAGATGTGCTGCTGCTGGTCTGTCTGGGCCTGGCCATGGAAGCTTCCAGTAGCTTCTTGTTCGGGCCCAGTATCTGCGCCCAGGCCCATCTCTGCAGTTGAGGGCCTGGGCCCTTTACAGTTGGGCACACCCAGAATTATCCAGGCTCCGAATGTCTGCCGTGCTTGTACTGGCCCACGGACAGATGTGACGACAACGCGCCATTCTCATTGGCCTGTAGCCACTTCGTCATATGTTGGCCTCAGTGGTTAATGGGGTTAACTGTTTTCAATGCTGAAATCAGTTTTTTTTCGCCAAAATTTTCATTTTTTTGTATTTTTTTTTTTTTACCAGTGCCCAGGGGGCAACCACCTGCATCCTGGGCTCAACGGCCTGACGCAGCTGCTGCTGCTGGAAGTGCCCAGGGTGAGGCCCAGGTTGCACGTCAACCAACTGGCGTTAGCAACTGTCTGAGACCCTCATTGGAAAATGCTGACATAAGGGCTTATCGTGAATATTCAGGCCCGCCTTCACTTAGGGTGAGCACGAGGCTTGCTGGGGGCCACAGTGCAGGACATATGCATGCTGTCTAGGGCCCCCTGAGGACACGTTCCTCACAGACATTAAATAAAAAAAAAAGAAGAAGAAAAAAAAAACTGATAAAAACTTGGAACGAAAAATGTTGCATAAACGGATGAGAGACTTCTGCCTTGCACCTCTTGCCAAAAGTCCTACCTTTGAATCTACATCCACCAAAAGTCCTGCCTTGGACAAAAAACGTATAAAATACAAAAAAAATATGGAAAATATAACCTGTTTCAACTGCAACTGGCAACTGGCAACTGGCAACTGGCAGAAAAAATAGTGGTGTCCAAGACTGCAAGCACACATTGCAGAAGTGTAAGTTTTGGGTTCCGCTTCTGCTACACGCGCAGAAGTTATCTTACTCTGACCGCACCTGCGAGCAGGCTCTGCTTGTTTGATTTTTCCTGAAAAGGAATGTTCCTGACACAATCATGCAGAACCATCGCCAGAGTCCTCATCAGCAAAAGGGCTCGAACTTCTGGCACAGGGCCCAACATAGGTCATTCATTCTGGTCGCAGAGGGACCGCCATCTCAAAGATGTGGTGTACCCGCCCGTTGAATCCCTCTCCTCGACAAAGCGTCCGGCATGGAAGCTTGATATAAGGAGTGAAGTAATCAATGCCGTCACAGGCACCGCTATCTCAAAAATCTGGTGTCCCCATTGAATCCCTTTCCTTGACAAAGCGTCCGGCATGGAAGCTTGATATATGGAGTGAACTCAGTGAAGTAATCAATGTCGTCCTTCGGGCCTTCCCACCATGAGGGGGACGAGCGTATGTGAGAACTCGTTGTATCTTTTTCTGACTTGCCGATGGAATAGGAACCGGACTGATGCTCCCCAGAATGGAAAAGGAGGCAGAGCCATTGAGTTTTTTCTTTTTTTTTGGGTAAGGATATGGAGTGAAGTCCTGTGACCACAGAGGCCACGCGAAGCATAAGAAGAACAGCAATCATCCCCTCGATTCCTGGAGACTTTACTCATAGTCAACGACCCCATGTGAATATCATATGCCTGACTTGTGACATCAGCGGATCGTTGATGTTGGTTCGTTTTATTAAAAGGCATATCCTGTGATCGGCCGTGTTGTCTACTGAAGGAGTGGGATGTATGCAATTAGGGCTGAATGAATAATGGTAATGCAAAATACCAAACAACTAGGCTCTCCTTCACCCGTCCACTTGCCACAGTGGTGGCCATCATTGACACCACGCTATATTGGAAATTACGAATGGAATGCTATGAATGATATTAATAATGGTGTGAATGGTGTGAATGGTGTGAATGGTGTCAATTGTGTGAATGGTATGAAATTACTATGAATGGTAAAGCAATAATAAATACTTACACCCTGTGATTGCTACGATTCCATGTTGAGAGTATCAACTGTCAGCCTTTAGATAAGCACAGGCCAATCATTCTCAGGAACCAACCAAGCACTCAATACTGCTCATGTGCTTCAATGGGACGCTGGACCTGCTTTCCAGCAGGTGATGCTCCTCGCCAATAGATGGAGTGGCCCAGCATGACTGCTAGGGGAGGCTGCTCATATCACCTACCCTAGCCGACCAAGCTAGGCCTTCTCTTAAGCAAACACACACACACAAAAAAAAAGAGGCTTTATACGCCTTCAAGGCTTCAAGCGAATACGATCTCGTCCCTGGGGTTCATTTCTTCAGTGAGCAAATTGATCCACAGCTTGTCCTTACATCTCACCATATTTTGCAGTATCAGAGGAAGCTAAGCCACTTGCTAGGGGCAGGGGCTGTTCAGGGGTGTTTACCTACTCCACTGCACCTGATTTTTTGCCCCCGTAAAAAAATTGAGTCATATCATCCCATGCTGTGCCGTTTCTCGCACTCTGGACAACGGACCGCTCATGCCCGTAACTCCTCATTTCTTTTATTTTCAGAGGCAGCAACTTCTCTGGTCGCAAAGAGTACAAGCCGCTAATCCCACAAACAAATCACACTTAGCCATGTTGACCAACAAACCCACAGGTCAAGGCTAAGGCAAAGGCTTCAAGGATCCTCAAAAATCCTCCGTCTTCCCAGAGACCAGAGAGCAGTGGTTAACTCCCATCTGCGCCACAAGGAGCTGGAGTACCACAAGAAGGTTTAGTCATATTGGTATCTTATGAATCTACATCCACCAAAACGTGCCACTTTTCCCAATTTTTTTCTTGCCTGGGCAGCGTGCACACCTCAGGTAGAAGGGGACATAAATATCAGTGTTCGAAGGGGACATAAATATCAGTGTTCTTGCCCGGGCATAGCCCACGCTGCAGGTAGAAGGACACAAATAATCAGCAAGCGAGTGCCATACAAGGAGTGCCTCTTCCTGCACCACTCTTGTAGCGTTGGGATCCACAGAATCTCTTAGAATCTAGACTCAGAATTTCTTCTCACAAATCTCACACCTCGCTAACCCATTCCTTTTTTTTCATATTTTTTTTTCAGACAACCAGTCTAGCTGTTAGGAGGGGTGATGCCCATTCCTTCCAGTCCTCCTTGTAATCTTGTCAGGCCCCATGCTACCACCTAAGCAATCAACCACGAGCCAAACAAGTTGTAGTCCACCCCACAGAAACTATAGTAAGTAGCCATGGCTAGATCACAGGAACCCTCTTCCTCCTTGCCACCGGTGGCAGTCTGGCAAAGCAGCCGTCAGCCTTGAGGAGATTTCATTTCATGGCCTAGGAAAATTCCGGAGGCTCGGTGCTGCCAGACCACAATGGCTGGCAGCGCCAACCAAAAAGGCAAAAAGCGCAGTGCTGGCGGGTAAGCAAAGCCTGGCGCGCAGTGCGGTGCTGCCCCGCCCGGGATCGGTGGTTTAAGATCAGGCATAACTGGACTATGTCAATATATCTAATCTCCCAAAATGTCATCCTATTATCATAACTTAAGTTGACCACCATTTCGGTCGAAAAAATGTCAGAGTCCCCTTACACAAACCACGACGTAGTCCAGTCACACCTGGTCACCAACATGAGCTTGAAATTATATTATTGGCCTATGTGGTCTTGATAACTACTTGCGCTAAGTACCAGACGTTTTAAACCACCATACTGGGCCCAGCTATCGGCCGTCATGGTGGAAAAATATAGAGTAGAACCGTTTCTAGTCGGATGAATTTGGGTGCTCCTGTAGTGACCCGTACATTTCCTAAAATCGTGGCTTGTTAACCGGCATGGTTTTTTTTGAAGTACTGGTGGTTTAAGGGCTGGGAAAGTTAAATACGTACACTTCGAAATGTTTCTCTGTCTGTGTCTCTCGCTGGTTTAGTGAGTCACAAATTTGAAGGAACAAAGAAGTGCTGCTCCCATCGGTTCGCCCTTCTTGCTGAGTAGGGGAACCACACGCACTCCTGGCCGTAGCTCACCGATGGGGAAGCAAGCTTGCCCAGCGAAGTCATCTTTGTGCAGTGTGTCTTCGTCCCATGCCTCAAAGAACAGCAGTGCCAGCTCAGGCACTGCCAGAGGGAAGCTGAAGGTCTGCTGCTCCCAATTTGGGCGCCGGGTTCTGTGCCGTGCTTCAGTCTTGGCCTTCTTCCTGTCGCATGGGACACCAATTGTCTTGATCTGCAAAATGTTGCAGTTGGATTTGGATATGGGCAAACATCGTTCAGGAAGATGGGAAAAGACGAATCAGGAGGGGGATAGGTGCCAGACAGACCCAAGGATCAGATGTTCAATTCGTTCATTTGGAAAATTGTAAGTGTATATTGTTTGGCTGCATTATGGACGATTATGAAACAGAGTGCTCTGTTTTCTCAAGGACGTTTTGCCATTTAACACAGAGCCCAGAAAGGCACCGAATACCACAAATGACCGACTGAATGCCTGATTCATTGAATACATGGGTGACCCTTATCTGGTCACTTACTCTGGAAGCCCACTTTCTGACAAACAAAATGCGTCCCGCGTTAGGGGTAGAAGTAATTGATAGGGTAGTTTAGGACAAAGGGAATCTGAAGGGTTCCGCTGACCCGCTGTAGAGGCAGTGCTCAGAGTAGTTTGGGGTTAACAGGACTTAGGCAACAGGGGGTTAGTAGTAGGACTCGTAGGCTAGGGTAGGATACAATAGGCTAGCTTGTAGGCAATGAGCAGCCCAGAGTCGCGTCCCAAGAATGGCCGTGAGCCACTCAGGGTCTACCCTGTAAGCTAAGCTGGATGATGGTGACAGACTTTTTCATCTGGGTTGTTTGAGAGGTTCTTAGGCCTCGTTTCCAAGTATGCAATGAAATGATGAAGGCGAATTGAAAAAAAGAAAGAAAGAAAGAAAGAAAGAAAGAAAGAAAGAAAGAAAAGAAACAAGAGTTAATACTGAAATATTCTGGCACACTGATACATAGATTCAAAGCAATCGGGAGAAGGGGAAAGAGAGAGAGAGGCCCCAAATTCAAAAAAAAAAAAACGAAAGAAAAAAAGAAACAAGAGTTGATACTGAAGTATTCTGACACACTGATACATAGATTCAAAGCAATTGGGAGAAAGGGAAAGAAAGTGAGAGGCTCCGGGTCTGGAATGGATGGACACCTAGATAGAAAGATAATACAAAACCAGCTGTCGTGGACTTCACATATCACAGCAAAAAACACCCAATGTCGTTGATGCAAAAAACCCACCAGCGCTCAGACCTTTTGTCCTGCTGCTCAGGCTAAGAGGAGAATGAACTCCCAAAATGTACTTTTATCCCGTGAGCACACCACCCCTCGTCTTTTCCTGATCTTTTCTTTCAGGTGCTTCGCGCCCGCGATATTGAAATGCCTTAACCTCAGCCTTTTAACAAGGAAATTCAGACTCTGAGCCAAATAACCCATGGCATCCCTAATGGGACTTAGGAAGGAGGGCACTATAGCCCTTTTCTTGCACACATCTTTGTCCTTAAACAGGGTATATGCCTGCTGTAACCTCCCACTGTTATCCCATTTTGCAATTCTTCCGAGCTTTTGACCAAGATAGTTTTTGCTTCTTTCAATATTGCATTCTCAGACACTTCCAACTTTATATAGTTCAAGTTGTCATTGTACATCATCTTCATGCCTTCTTTGTACAACATTGGCCATTCCACAAGCGTTGCGCCTGGGTTTCAGTCCAGTGGTGAGACTACTAGCCTCTTTAGAGCTTGTTTCAGACCGAAGACATACTCGGTGTCACAACCCACCAAGTATGAAGCCCCTTTTTCACAAAATTCATTCCAATTTATGTGAACTTTCTGTGTCTGGTGCGCACATTCCATTTTCTTTAAAGGTTCAAGTGCATTGTTACAAGCCTGATTTACATCCTTCCCCCACAACAGCCTCCCTGGATAAGGTGTGTTTTTTGCATTCAGCACGAACTCCCTAACCCCCTCCAATTCATCCAATCTGACTCGAACATGCCCCTTTTCTTTGGGCAGGTCAAAGTCTTTGCAAGTGCAGGGTGACCCGCTCCATCTTGCAAAACGCTGGTGATTATGCAGAATGTCCTTGACATAGTTTCTTTTCTGCCAGACAGTTCTCATTCTACCAATCACCAAGTCAGACAGACAACTTGGGGAGATCATTCCTTTCAAGCAGTCCTTAAAACATCACTGAGTCTCAAAAGGGTAATTTACTAATTTTACCATAATCCTATGTCTCGGATTAATGCCAAAAACCTTTTTGGTAATTCTTGTGATACTACCCCTCGTGATTTGCCTACCTCTGTTGAATTTAACAGTTTAATTCCTGCATTCAATTCTAACATTTCTTCTAATTTCTTTTTATACAAAGTCTTCCTCTTCCAAGGGGCCCTCAATATAGAAATTACATCAGCCTTTGCTATTTCTGATTTGTTCTTAGTCTTTTTCAGGTTTGTTACAAACCATTCCCAACCCTCCTGGATGAATGGCTTCACATCTTTCAAAAGGAACTTCTTTCCAAGGAATTCAACAATACTGAAGCCAACTAATAATTTAACTAGCCCCCATGGTTTGAGCCAATGATCTCCCTTATTTAGCATATTCAACAGACTCGGCTCCCCTTTGACATTCAAATGATCACAATCAAACCAGGGCTGCACCTGCCACCGGCCAGTTGGACCGGACCGGACCCAACCGGGCCGGTTGGAACCCCGGTGGTCCAACCGGAAATCCGGTTGGGCCCAAAACTGGGTCTTTTTTTTTTTTTTTTTTTTTTTGATGATGGGGTTGGACTGCACTTGTTGAGATCTCCCCGAATCCGCAGAGAAAATATTGATCTGCAATTTTTTTTTTCATGGGGTTGGGGGRGGGGGGGGGGGTTGTGGCAATTCATGGATTGAGGGTGGGCTGCATTTCAGGGGTGTCCTCCTCCTCCTCCTCCTCCTCACCCTCCTCACCATCATCATCATCATCATCATCGTTATCACCATCATCATCATCGTCGTCGTCGTCGTCATCATCGTCATTATCATCATGATGTCATCCTCCTTCATCATCATCATCATCCACTGTCCATATCATCACCCCACGCGCCCGCTACCCTCCGCGCGCACCCACAACTTTGCTCTCTCTCTCTCTCTCTCTCTCTCTCTCTCTCTCTCTCTCTCTCTCTCTCTCTCTCTCTCTCTCTCTCTACTTCGGAAACTTCGGACTTCGGCTTTGCCAGAAGAAGAAGAAGAAGAAGAAGAAGAAGAAGAAGAAGAAGAAGATAGTAATAAGAAGAAGAAGAAATAGAAGAAGAAGAAGAAGAAGAAGAAGAAGAAGAAGAAGAAGATAGTATGAAGAAGAAGAAACAGAGAACAACAAGGGAAGACTTACCTTTACCGATGGACGGCCGGGCGGGGCGATGGCGATCCGAGGCTGGGGTGGACGTGGGGGGGCCGACGCAGCCTCGACCTCGTTCACTTTCGACGAAGTGACGGGTCCTGCTGCTTGAAAGCAGGTGGAGGCGGGAGGCGGGGTGGTGGGGGTGGTGCCTGGGGAAGGTTTGGATCGCCGCCAAGAACTTCCGGTGGTTTCCCGCCCAAATGTTCAAAAACGGGCGGCCTACTTGGGCAGCAGATCTCACCAGATTGACGACCCAGATAGGCTGCCAGTTTTTCAATAATCTGGCGGGCCTACCAGACCCGGTTGATCTTTTTTTGGGGCCGGGAGGCCTCCACGACTCGCATGGAGGCCTCCCGGCCCCCAAAAAAATTGAAACCCCCCCGCCAGCGAATTGCGCAAATCCGGGGGGGAACTGGCGCTCTCCACCGGCCGGTACCACCGGCCCGGTTCCGGTGGGGGAAGAGGGCCCCGGTGGGACCGGATATTCAGCCTTGAATCAAACAGGATAGCCTTTTTGCATGGTTCAAAACCTTTCCTTGTCTTTAGCTGCCTTCTAGGCTTGCTCCTTGAGGGTTTGTTATTTACCTTTCTCGAATTCAAACCAGGGCTGAGACTTCGAATGACGAATTCTTCCATGCAACCAAGTGAACTCTTACTTCCAAACCATAATGGCAAAGCAACGTAATTACATATCCCAATTTTTTCCAGCCATCTATGCACCTTTTGTTTTGGTTCAGATTCGGTGGTCCTCACATGTTCACGCCATCTAATCTGCAAATCCCTCTCTGTTTGCCCAATATAAGCGTGTTTGGAAAAGGGGAGATTAGAAGATAGACACAACTATTGCCTTTCAGCAATTTGTACCATTCTGTAGTGTTGAGACTCGTCCAATACTTAACGTAGACTTTACCCCATCTGATGTCTGCTTTGAGACAAAGTGCTAGTGCAATCAGCTTCAGGAGATTACGCGCCTCCCTCCCAATGATCTCATGATGCTTTTTTTTAAGCTCAATTAATCTCCTACGTACCCTTAATAGCGTTCTCTTACTAACCAAATCTAGTTTCTCGCCAGATTGCCTTTCTGTAACTCCTCTTCTGAGTCGGAGCTGCTGGAAGTTTCCTCCGCTTCGTCACCATCACTCTTCTTTTCATCCTCCTCCTCATCGGCCTTCACCTCGTGCTTCTCCAGTTCTTGCAGTACTTCAAAATCTAGCCTTGCGAGCTCCCACACTCCACCTCCTTTCCGTTTGTTCGGGATACCCTTTACTTTGCACAGAGCCTGTATCTCTCTGTAGTGCATTGCATCATATTAGATCACCCTGTCTTGAAAATATAAGCCTAATGACCCCTCTTCCCTCTCACCTTCTCCGTTCTTCTCAGTTCCCATCATCTTCTTTTGGGGTTCTTCTGCATCCCCCTCTTGCTCACCACGCCCAAGCCCATATTCACCATGCTTCATGTCCTGCCCAACAGTTCTTTAAGAAGATCTTTCAATTCTGCCAAATCCTTCCCCCCACGGGACGAGCCATCCATTTTTCTACTCAGATTTTGCACTACCCTATCTTTTTCAATCTCCCTCCCATCCTCATCTGACGACACCTCGACAGGCTTCTAGGTCTTTTCTTTCCCATTTTTCCTCAAGAGCACTGACCGGGACCTGACTTTAGCTTTCAATGTTGCTTTTCTCCGAACTGGAGCTTTCTCTCAACTCCCTTACTTCTTTTTCAGCCCGCATCATCTTCAATTCTTCCAATTCCTCATCCTTTAGCTTGGATTTTTTGTCCACTTCCTCGAGTTTTTCTGAGAGCAACTTCAGAGAGCCCCCAAAATTCGTTGCAACCCATTTCTTCATCTCATCCTCCTTTCTATCATCAACAAGTTTTCCTTTTCCCTTCTCTTTCCCTTGCTTCCTATTCTTCTCTATCTTCTCTTGAGTCCTTACCTTTCTTCCCTTCTTTTTGCTTCCCAGACTCCCTCCCTGGCACCTTTAGTCTCGCGATTTCATCGAGATCTTTTTTTTCGTGCTTCGTCCACAGCGTCTTTCAATTTCAATTTCTCAATGAAATCAGCGCGCTCACGCGTGAAAAAGGCTTGATTCTGGTATCCCCCATTCCCACGACCATAAACCCGGTTATATTGACCCCCCGATTGCGTATGAGTAAAGATCGTTCCAGCGCGCGGCCATTACGCCTGTGGCTGAGCCCAAACGTAATTCGGAGGTGTCGGGTTATAACCGAAAGGATTCATGGATGGACCGAAGGGTGGGAAGAAAGGGTTCACCGGAGTTTGATAGGGGATGCTTCCTGCAGAGAAGGGAGCAACAGGTGGTTGAGCTGGTGGGGAAGGAGGAGGGGTCTCCATCCAATACCTCCCACAGTTTGACCACCTACCCCTACCCCGATCCCTACCACGCGCCTGCATGTGCTATACTATATCAAATACTACAAAATGTTTGTATATGTATCGGTAATCAATCGAGAACACACGTCAATACACAAATAAGTACACGTTAGTGTCAGTGAGTATCAAAAACTTCAATCCCCATAGTGTCAAAAACAAATATTCCCTGATGAGATGCTCAGTCGTTCGACGTCAGTATTGGAATCGCGGAGACCTTCAATGAGTGATGTGTGCTGCTCCGATCGTTGACACGTGCATAACATACAAGCCAATATCGTAGTGAAACCAAAGAAGGCTTGCCGCAATACCACGATGATGCCAAACAATGAAGAGACAGCGCACAAACCACAAAAGCGCTTCCACGTGTCGGAACAACGACGTACCGTAGCATAATACTACGGATCATGAAGAGAGAAACTCGCGCCCGGTGTCGACGATACGGTACTCAGGTGTCGCTCACAAACCCTAGTACGGATGACGACGTCTTCCCAGCGTAGACATAGCAGAACCCTACTGCAGATGGACTCTTAGACAATGCTGCCAAGTATCGAAAACTACGCTCGCTCCGTAGTATCGAGGCGGTGCCACTCGATGGCCCCCGACCAATGGACGGGTCTTCCATGGCCACTTCAGGTTATCTCATAGGTTTCAGGTGGGGACCTGAAACCTCTGAAATGACCTGAAGTGGTTGAAGCTTCTGGAAGCGGTTTCAGGTCCCCCCATCCAAGTACCCAACACCCGTATGAAGCAGTTGAAAATGACCTGAAAATATAGGCATTTGTTAACCTTCTCTCTCTGGTAGCTCTTGGACTTTCTCAGGACTGCGCGACTCCTTTTGCACTAATGTCGGTTGGAATGACGAGGCCTAGCAACCTACCGGACTGCTAGGATGGATTGGCCTACTGGACTCTGCAGCAGCTAGCATACAAATGGGCCTATCGGTTGGGATGATGACCCATGGGCCACATGACTTCGGGAATTCTGGGACCAGGACTAGGACTCAAGCTCAATAATGCATGAAATCCGCACGAGCGAGAGAGAGAGAGAGAGAGAGAGAGAGAGAGAGAGAGAGAGAGAGAGAGAGAGAGAGAGAGAGAGAGAGAGAGAGAGAGAGAGAGANGAGAGAGAGAGAGAGAGAGAGAGAGAGAGAGAGAGAGAGAGAGAGAGAGAGAGATGAAACTCACTTTCACATAGAAGTCAGGGGGCTTCAGTGTGTCAAAGAAGTGTTTCCAGCCTTTGCCGCATAGGACTTGGACCTAGTGGAAAGGGGGCAGAAACCAGCCAAAATTGAACACAGAGCTACTGCGTTAGAACCTATTGCAATCAACCCACTTCTCAAGCTCACCACTCAACAATTCGCATGCATGAGCTCCACAACAAAACTCAAAAGATAAGTCAATGAACAGGGAGGAAAGGATGATAATAATACCATTAATTGACAAAGGTTGATAATAGTACCATTAATTAACAACCAAAGATTACGGAGTTGATCTTCTCCCTCCTCAACCCCGGAATTTTCATGTCCAATCACTTATTCTCTCTGCCGAATGAGTCTCTCAGTCCAACCAACGCCAGGCTCTGCTTCTGTCTCACTACACCCAACCGAAATCTCTCTTCTACCATTCCCTCCTCAAGCACCTCTTATTCCAAGCAGCAATGCCGCATACCTCAAGCAAGAGAGAAGCCAACAACAATGCAGAGCATCAGCCACGGGACAATCTCCCACAAGCAAGTTCTCACCTCCAACCTTCTGTCCTCACTCTCTCATCTACAGCTATGGAGCCACCCGACTCCCCTGCTCTACCGGCAGCCTCCTCTCATCCATGGCTGCCTCCCCTATCTCTGTTCTTCTGACTTATGCAAGGTAGTCTCCTCCAGCATGCCAGCTCCAGCTTCACCTTGCCCAGGCAGAAGGAATACTGAACTGAGTCATGGCCTTTCTTTTGTAAAGTTGACTCAGCTTTGGCGTGCCTCAGGTTGCCTCCTTGAATGGCTGAAATTTTCTCGACCTGTGCAGCGAGCATATGGTTGCGGCCTGTGTGTGCCTCGTCTGAGCGAGTGTGGATGCTTCTGGAAACTGTGATGAGCCCTTGGATTCTATGTGATCTGTAGCTGAGTTTGCCTTGTGGGAAAATCTTCGACTCTTGCTCTACTGTGCCCAGGTTGGGCCTGACTGTCGACTTTCCTCAGGCCTGGGAGGCTGGGACATTTTTTCCAGGCCCTGGGGTTGTTTTCGAGGCCCCGTACCCGTCTGTTTGATCTGATAGACCCTTCTTCGACAACTCCTGATTCTCCTGGCCCTAGACAGGGATTCTTGACCCTGGAACTCGGACTCGGACTTGGGAGACACGAGCCTATACTCAATTCTAAGGCCCCTTGGCTTGTGCTTATCACAATATGTAAACCTCGAGGAGTTCGTCCTCCGGAATTGCACAAGGTGAAAGCTAATAGTGCTAGGCAGCTTGTCCTGCTGATCATACTCTCATGGGTTCAAATTTGCTCTCACTAGCACACATTAGCATATCAGCTGCAGGTCCGTACTTAATATCTCGGACAGTAAATTGGAGAGAATGAAAAGACTGGTAATAGAGAGACTGAAGAGTATATAACTAACTGTACATTCGTCACACACTCCAGATACAGTATGCCACACTCTGGTTCACTCAAACATTTTCCACTGAAGCTCAGCTATTGGACCCATCCCTTCACTACAACAGATCACATGCCTTCATTGAGCTTGGTGACCACAATGAGCCTTCTGATAGTCCCTCATGTACGCTTGTACACGTAGGCCCACACAACATCAATGTTGCATCATACAGGCGAGAAAAATAACTCCTTGCTTTTGCACACATGCTCACAAAACCCTGGGACACACACTATAGCAGGCATTTGAACAGGTTTGATAGTTGTAGCAGCATGTGGCCAGGGAAGACTTTAGGATTGTAGTACGATCTTTCTCGGCCGAAGTCCAGGCCTTCGGCCTCTTTTCCACACCGTCGAATGTCAGCAGGGCGTGTTCTAGGGCTATGGGGTTCGGGGTTATTGTGGAGCACATCTCTGTCGCCCCCTCTTGTCTCCATCATGTTTTTCGGGTTCTCTCTGAGCTACCTTTTGTTTGTTTTATCTAGGGCTTCACTTTCAGTAAGTAGGGCATGCTGCAAGGTCTGGGCCTTGCTCCTTTCTGTGAGGATCTGGGTCCTCGGCAGGCCTAAGGGGCCCCTGCTGCAAATGTGCCCGCCCTAAGTGAAGGTGGGCCTAACAAATCACGAGAGGCCCTAAGCTGTCAAATTCGTATTTGGGGTCCAGGCAGTTTCGTCACGCCAGTTGGTTGAGGAAACACAGGCCGAGCAGCAAGGAAATTCCACGACCTTCTAGGCTTTTCCGAAAGAGCAGGCCCTGGGCGAGATTCGCAGCCTCATACACAGAAAGTTGGGAGGCCCAACTGAATGAGGCCCAGTGGCTGCACCAGAGGCGCAGCATCCTGGGGCCTACCGGAAGCTTCTGGGCCCAGGCCCAGACCAGTCAGGCTGCGAAGGCAGGCAGACTCTTTCCATATAGGAAAGAGCTCGTTGCCTGGAGCCGCATTCACACACTTGCATGCCTAGCGATGGCGCTGCTGGAGCGAGCGCTCGCGGACTGCTACTGGAGCTGAGAGGCAAGGCGTGGGCACGTGCGGTCGTGTGAAGGAGGGCACTGCTGAGGGCAGCGCCATAGCCCAGCCACCATAGCTGGCGGGCTTGGACTACAGTGAGGCGCAGGGGTGGTCTTCGGGTGTACAGAGGGAAAACGTGGGTGTAAGACGAGGGAGAGAGAGAGAGAAGGATGATGATGATGATAATGTGAGGGCACATACCTGGTATTGGTGAAGGTCTGCTACTGGCAACTTCTTCAAGTACTTCGTTGGCTGCTGACGTCAACAGTTGCATTGTCAATTAGTAGGCTACTAGTAGCTGGGTAGGGAGTAGGCTGGGCGCCGAGCGCCAAGTACGGAGAAGGACCTGGATACATATGTTGGTGGTGGCGAGAGCAAGCTCTCATTGACATTGGTTTCCAGTGTTACGATTCTCCATTGGTGACATATTGGTGCAATGCTGCTTTCTGAGCACGGTGATACGATCTGGCTTTCAATGTGATTGTGCAATCTGAATATTGTCATCTCGCTTCTGTTCATTTTCCTTGCAATTTGGTATCGGAGCTGGTTCGAACTGCGCTCATTGGCTCTTCGCAATAGCTGCGCGGTGCTTCACATGAGGTGTGGGGCAGTGATAAGGCTTGGGCGTTGGACGTAAGGCGGCCCAGGGTCGTGTGGGCGCGCCAGGAAGCTATGTGGTGACATTAGGGGTGTACGCAGGATGATGAAAGCTCGCTGATGTGGCATTTAAGCTGAGGTGGAACTGCATTCTGCTGTTGGTTGTGTCGAGGCAAAGACCGGTCATCATAAATGCACATCAGGTTGCCGGTGAGAAATCTGTTGTTGGGGGCAGCATTATGAGGTACGTTGCTCTCTTCCTTATCTACCCTCTTCGTTACTGCTTACCGTGAGGAAGTGAGTCTAGTCTTGAGAGTCCTCTCAATGTGAGGCGTCGCAAGCGCTCAACCTTGAGAGTCGACATTCTTCCTGGGCAGCAAGCTGGTGGGAGACGGGCGTAGCCTCTGAAGGGCCCTGGACGAAGCACTCGGGTCACTGTCACCATGCCAACCCGCTGGGACTAGTACACGCATGCTTTGCCGTAAGTCCTTGGTTCTGCTGCTGCGCAACAGAGGTCATGCAGGGCATGCCAGCCCCTTGAACAGACGCTTTAAATATTTCTGGCCGGGACTCGGTGTTGATTCTGGCTGTGATCGTCGTCCTGTCTGCGACGTTAAATAATTCATGAGGAGTTACGGGGGATCTCCTTAAATGCCTCCTGATCAGCCAGATCAAACCGGGTGTAAGGCTCGTTGCATGCGAGGATAAATAAAGTGCAGGGGCTGGCAGGTTCGGCGTTGACTTGGGGCACAGGGGTGGGCGGGATTGCACACCTTTAGACACGCTGCTCAACCAGATGCCTAGGAACGTCGATACAAAGTGCTTACTCAAGAGGGATACAGGGAAAGGGTTGGATTCCGGCAACTGTTCGCCGTGGCATTAATTAGATAAACTGCCATTCAGCATACATCTCTGCAGGGAACATTATTTTTATTTTTGATTATTTAGTTGTTACGGACTTGTCTAACAATTGACAGACAGCTGCAGATAGAGTAGTATATTCTTTGCTGCATTGCAATCTGTATTAGAGTAATCAAAAAATAGAATTAACATTCCCTGTAGGATCTGACATTGGTTGGCACCTAACTACGTAACTGTTTTTGTCCAGGCCGACCGAAGTTAGTTGTGTATCATACTCAGTTGTGTATCATACTCAGTTGTGTATCATACTCAGTTGTATGTCATGCTGCGGTAGGATTCAATGTGGATTCTAGTTTAGATCACACGCATTGTAGCTCATGAGTGATGCAAGCACGAGTGAGGAGTTGTTAGTGGACGACCTTAGGGTCACTCGAAGAACTGCTCTCAGTTGACCCTTGACTTTCCTAGAGTTAGGTCCAGGGGACGAGAGGAGACTGTGGAGAGAGGCTAGGGAGAGGGCAACAGCGAGGAGAGCGAGGGACGCTGAGGCCAGCGCCAGGTCTAGAACTATAGCTAGCACAAGTGCAACCATGGCCACCTCCTCCATGTCGCAGGCCTCTTCACAGGTCACTTCGTCAGGAGTCTGCCAGAGTGGTTCTCAAGCTTCCATCAGCCAGAGTGTTGGCTCGCAAGTCAGCCAACAGGCTCAACTCACGCCGAAGGATTATAAAATCCTCCAACCAGAAGAACTTCAGGATGAGCTACGACGGCAATTGGATGAGGCATCAGAGAGAAGAAGGAGAGCAATAATGAGAAAAGCTAGACTAGGTAGTAGATTGCAGGAACTAGGCAAGCTAGAGGCACTAGATGAGTCCACACTTGATCCCGCTATGCAAGCACTGCGGAATTCGCTCCTATGTGTGGCGGAGACGCAGGTTGTTCAATAGGAAGTGTTGGCTGAACTAGTGGCAGGCCAGAAACGAATTCTAGTTGCACTTCAGGTTCCTCGTATAGTGATGAGGCAGCCTCAGTTTGTTGTAGCTCCCCCATCGGTTGCGGGTCCATCAATGACGTCGTCGTCGTTTGGGCCCTCATTCTCACCTATGTTTGGCATGCCTCCT